GACTGCTCTTGAGACTGGAGTGGCCACTCCTGAGTCTTGCAATTGATACTATCGTTCTCTTATTTAACATCCGTTTATGGAACCAGGGTTTTCTTCGGAGATTTAAATAGTTTTTTTATGTAGAAGGAACCCTTAGATTGCCCTATAAGGAGACACCAGTCTCTAAATTCTTGATGTAAAAGGTCTTGTCAATGTTTTTTAAAGTCTTTGGGAGGGAGCCCAATCTGGGAGTCTCTCCCAATTCTAATTGCCTCTTTAGCTCGAGAATCCGCTAGTTCATTGCCTGTAATTCCTCGATGACTAGGAATCCAAATAAGTTTTATTACTTTGTAACGGCAGGGCCGTTACTACGACCATTGTACAGTTACCGTAGAAATATATAGATAGCTACACCTGGTTCGCTTATTCACCCAGCCCTACCTGTCCTGTCCGCCGCCATCTTGCTTAACGCATGCGCATTCGCTCTCAGCATGCGCTCTCGCTCGCCAGCATCCGCTATCCCGCTCAGCATGCGCTCTCGCTCGCCGACACGCTCTGTCTCGCTCTCGCGGTGTCCCCACGCGGTACCGACCCCCACCGCCGGACCGACAACGCATAGTGGGGACAACGGCCGGGTATATAAGCCCGGCCGGCCGAGACATCGGGACCAGATCCCATCCTGCGATCCGACTCCAGACACCAACCTGCCTAATACCTACTGCCTCTCGGGGACGAGGTTTCTCTCGTCTCTGCCGGGTTTCGCCGGCTCTCTCTCCCTTCGGGCTGAGGTTTCGCTCAGCCCCGTCGGGTTTCGCCGACTCCTGTCACCACTCCTCGGGCCAAGGTTTCTCTTGATCCTGTCGGGTTTCGCCGGCTTCCAACACCTACCCGGGCTGAGGTTTCGCTCAGCCCTGCCGGGTTTCGCCAGTTTCCGTTGCCAAGGTAGGCCCGACGTGACACTCGGTACTACCCGCAATAGCTCACCATCTAACCTAACCTAACCAATAGGATATAAGGTGCATGTAAATACCGCGTTGTACATAGTAGCCGCATGAGCTGTAGATTTTGTTCAGTTTTTGCTGTCAATCTGGCGTCAAATTGCCCTGCGCAGATTTTGCTCGATTTCTACCGCCAATTTGACATCAAGTCATGTCAGCAAGCTTTGCTCGGTTTTTGCCATCAATTTGCTGTCAGGTTATGTTCACAGGCTTTGCTGGCAAAACATGAGCTTATTGCAGACACAGATGGCACCGGATTTGTCACCAAGTTTTGACCAAATTTGATGCCAATTTGGCGACAATTTGCTATCAAATTGCTATCTGGGATAAAGGACATAGAGGGGAATCCACTATATCGAATCGAAATAGACTGCTCTTGAGACTGGAGTGGCCACTCCTGAGTCTTGCAATTGATACTATCGTTCTCTTATTTAACATCCGTTTATGGAACCAGGGTTTTCTTCGGAGATTTAAATAGTTTTTTTATGTAGAAGGAACCCTTAGATTGCCCTATAAGGAGACACCAGTCTCTAAATTCTTGATGTAAAAGGTCTTGTCAATGTTTTTTAAAGTCTTTGGGAGGGAGCCCAATCTGGGAGTCTCTCCCAATTCTAATTGCCTCTTTAGCTCGAGAATCCGCTAGTTCATTGCCTGTAATTCCTCGATGACTAGGAATCCAAATAAGTTTTATTACTTTGTAACGGCAGGGCCGTTACTACGACCATTGTACAGTTACCGTAGAAATATATAGATAGCTACACCTGGTTCGCTTATTCACCCAGCCCTACCTGTCCTGTCCGCCGCCATCTTGCTTAACGCATGCGCATTCGCTCTCAGCATGCGCTCTCGCTCGCCAGCATCCGCTATCCCGCTCAGCATGCGCTCTCGCTCGCCGACACGCTCTGTCTCGCTCTCGCGGGGTCCCCACGCGGTACCGACTCCCACCGCTGGACCGACGGCGCACAGTGGGGGCCGCCGGCCGGGTATATAAGCCCGGCCGGCCGAGACATCGGGACCAGATCCCATCCTGCGATCCGACTCCAGACACCAACCTGCCTAATACCTACTGCCTCTCGGGGACGAGGTTTCTCTCGTCTCTGCCGGGTTTCGCCGGCTCTCTCTACCTTCGGGCTGAGGTTTCGCTCAGCCCCGTCGGGTTTCGCCGACTCCTGTCACCACTCCTCGGGCCAAGGTTTCTCTTGATCCTGTCGGGTTTCGCCGGCTTCCAACACCTACCCGGGCTGAGGTTTCGCTCAGCCCTGCCGGGTTTCGCCGGTTTCCGTTGCCAAGGTAGGCCCGACGTGACACTCGGTACTACCCGCAATAGCTCACCATCTAACCTAACCTAACCAATAGGATATAAGGTGCATGTAAATACCGCGTTGTACATAGTAGCCGCATGATAGAGATAAGCCTAATAGTGCTAAGACCGGGTACCAGTAAGTCCGCTAGTAATAAGGCTTTTTTTTGTAACGGAGGGGAAATGCTTTTACGCATACCCCGCCTCGATGGGGTTTTGTGGGACTATCCCCGGCCTAAACAAACGGCCGGGGACTACCCACTAAAACCCTCCGGGTGGCCTATCTCAGGCGTCACAGAGGGCCTCTCTGGAAACTGGCTTATGCACTACATCAGAGAGGCCCTCCGCCCACGAACCATGCCATCTGGGGGAGGAGTTTATCCCTCCCTCAGTGTCTGTATATTGTAGGGACTTCAACTCATATCAGCGAGAGGGGGACCACCGCCCCTCTCGCTTCCCTCCCGGTGTTGTTGTCCCCAAGGGGGAGCGTGGCCGGGCCCAGGTACCCTACCTGGACTCCGACCACCGGGCCCGGGTCCGGGTGGGACGTCCGCAATGAAATAGCGGACGTCCCCCGGAATTGCCGAGGCCCTGCGCAAGCGCAGGAGTCCGATGGGGCCGGGTTCGATTGCGACCCAGCCTCCCCTCCCGCGCGCGCTCCCCCTTGTCTGGAGCAAATTTCCGGGGTGACCGGGGATCGATATGGCCCCGGCCCCCGTCGGCCCGCCCCGGGGGGTCCTTGGGGCGCGACAACGTGTCGCACCGCTATGACCAGGGGTCGTGCGGGGCCCGCGGGTCCTGCCCGTAAAGGGCTCTCCCCGCGAGGTTTCGCTCAGCCCCGTCGGGTTTCGCCGACTCCTGTCACCACTCCTCGGGCCAAGGTTTCTCTTGATCCTGTCGGGTTTCGCCGGCTTCCAACACCTACCCGGGCTGAGGTTTCGCTCAGCCCTGCCGGGTTTCGCCGGTTTCCGTTGCCAAGGTAGGCCCGACGTGACACTCGGTACTACCCGCAATAGCTCACCATCTAACCTAACCTAACCAATAGGATATAAGGTGCATGTAAATACCGCGTTGTACATAGTAGCCGCATGATAGAGATAAGCCTAATAGTGCTAAGACCGGGTACCAGTAAGTCCGCTAGTAATAAGGCTTTTTTTTGTAACGGAGGGGAAATGCTTTTACGCATACCCCGCCTCGATGGGGTTTTGTGGGACTATCCCCGGCCTAAACAAACGGCCGGGGACTACCCACTAAAACCCTCCGGGTGGCCTATCTCAGGCGTCACAGAGGGCCTCTCTGGAAACTGGCTTATGCACTACATCAGAGAGGCCCTCCGCCCACGAACCATGCCATCTGGGGGAGGAGTTTATCCCTCCCTCAGTGTCTGTATATTGTAGGGACTTCAACTCATATCAGCGAGAGGGGGACCACCGCCCCTCTCGCTTCCCTCCCGGTGTTGTTGTCCCCAAGGGGGAGCGTGGCCGGGCCCAGGTACCCTACCTGGACTCCGACCACCGGGCCCGGGTCCGGGTGGGACGTCCGCAATGAAATAGCGGACGTCCCCCGGAATTGCCGAGGCCCTGCGCAAGCGCAGGAGTCCGATGGGGCCGGGTTCGATTGCGACCCAGCCTCCCCTCCCGCGCGCGCTCCCCCTTGTCTGGAGCAAATTTCCGGGGTGACCGGGGACCGATATGGCCCCGGCCCCCGTCGGCCCGCCCCGGGGGGTCCTTGGGGCGCGACAACGTGTCGCACCGCTATGACCAGGGGTCGTGCGGGGCCCGCGGGTCCTGCCCGTAAAGGGCTCTCCCCGCGTCTCCCCACCGTTTCCCCCGGCCGCCCCATCTCGGTCACGAACTCCCCGGCGTCCACCGGGGAGCCGCTCCTGCTCTCTTTCGGCCTCCTCCTTCTGGAGCATTACCGCTTCACAGAAGGAGGAGACCGCCTTCCAGGACTCCTCGCTCTCGAGCATGACCGCTACGATGCTCGAGAACGAGAAGTCAGTCTCGCCTATTATTTGGACAAGGACACGACG